GAGACCAGCCTGGCCAACATGGTGAAACTCCATCTCTACTAAAAATTAGCCGGGCGTGGTGGTGTGTACCTGTACTCCCAGCTACCCAGGAGGCTGAGCCAGGGGAATCACTGAAACCTGGGAGGCAGAGGTTGCAATGAGCTGAGATTGCACCACTGCACTCTACCCTGGGTGACAGTCATAGACTGTTTATGTTATTAGTAAGGCTTCCAGGCAACAGTAGGCTATTAGTAATTAAGTTTGTTTTTTGGTTTATTTTTGTTTTGAGACAAGTTCTGGCTCTATCGCCCCAGCTGAGTGCAGTGGCATGATCTCAGCTCACTATAACATGTGCCTCCTGGGCTCAAGCCATCCTCCCATCTCAGCTACCCGAGTAACGGGGACTATAGGTGCACACTACCATACCTATTTTTTTCTTTTTCTTTCTTTTTTTTTGTATTTTGAATAGAGACAAGGTCTCACCACATTGCCCATGCTAGCCTCGAATTTGTGAGCTGGGATTACAGGTGCCTGCCACCACATCTGGCTAATTTTTTTGTATTTTTAGTAGAGATGGTGTTTCACTATGTTGGCCAGGCTGGTCTCGAACTACTGACCTTGTGATCTGCCTGTCTCAGCCTCCCAAAGTGCTGGGATTAGAGGCATGAGCCACCGCACCTGGCCAGTAATTAAGTTTTGGGGAAGTCGAAAGTTACCTGTGGATTTTCAACGGTGTGGGGTGGAGGGTGGTACCTCTGACCTCTACATTGTTCAAAGGTCAACTATAGATGGATGTATTTACCGTGTGTCAGCCGGTGGATCTGAAAACATCCCCAAAACCTTTTCCATCTCCCAGCCGTGCTCTGAGCCCATAGGAAATGACACTGACCAAGTTCTTGAGACCCAGTCTCAAGTCTTACACTGTCCTTATTTCTTTTTCTTTTTCTTTCTTTCTTTTTTTTGAGACGGAGTTTCACTCTTGTCACCCAGGCTGGAGTGCAATGGTGCGATCTCGGCTCACTGCAGCCTCTGCCTCCCAGGCTCAAGCGATTCTCCTGCCTCAGCCTCCCGAGTAGCTGGGATTATAGGCACACGCCACCCTGCCCGGCTAATTTTTTGTATTTTTAGTAGAGACGGGGTTTTGCCATGTTGGCCAGGCTAGTTTCAAACTCCTGGCCTCAGGTGATCCACCCAC